TAATAATAATAATAATTTCTTCTGTGGGAAATCCTCGAATGTCTATTCCTATTAACTGTCCATAAAAGTATCAGCAAAGAGTTTTTCAGTAACTGTGCTTTCACAATTTTATGTAATTATCCTGACATAATAAGTATGATAATTTTAATACGCTGACACGTGATATTACCTGTCCTTGCTTTTGTAGTGTATCAGGATCATATAGCTTTGTTTGTTTCTTCTTTGATACAGAAGGCATCGTTTTTTGCAGGCTGTGTCCTCTACTTCATGCCAAACTTAACAGATGCACAAACAGCAGTCTTGTCGCAACAAGGAGTACTTTATCACTTGTGCCTCTTGTTGATACAAGTCTACTATCTGTAGGTTTGCCTCTGTCCTCTTGCAAAAGAAATAGAATTTTAAAAAAACTGACTGGCAATGATTTCCCACTCAACTGTATGCTCTAGGATACAGACATCATCTTCCTTACTTAATAATAAAACCCTGCTGCATCTTAAAGCAGAGGTGGGGAACTCTTCTTCTGACGAGGGCCCCATTTCCTTGGGTACCATTTGTCAGGGGTCACATATCAGTACTGGGCAGTTGCAGGACCAAAACTAGACAGGGACACCCACTTTGCTCTCTTTTTCTGCCACCCCTTTTTCATTTTCATTTTTTCTCTGGCACCACATTCTTATTTTCCCTCCTCTCTTGGTCTTCTTCTATCCCCATCCATGTTCAGGGAAAGGGTACACTGCTCTAGTCTGAGATGTGAACTGACAACTAACAGGGAACTTTTGGAATTGCGCTACAGGCCACATCAATTAAGGATTATTTGGTAACTATGGTGGAAGAAGGAAGTGGTCAAGCATTGAGGATATAATCACTTAAAGTAATGATTACTCAGGGAGTTGTAGTAAGAGAAATATGGCCTCTCCACTAGTTTTGTTGGCCTGTGAAGAAATGGGAAAGAACTATTGGGCAGCTAAGATATCTACAATTATATTGAAGCTGGGTTACTTTCCAGCCTACCTCCTCAGGAGGGGATATGTGGCTGTCCGAGAAGATATTATTAAAAGATTATATGATATTGATATCCATGACATCTGTAGTTAGCTGCCTCTTCAGTGGGCTATACAAAGGCTTTTCCTTGCCTTTTGGAAAACTGCCCCCATAGTTGTCCCTTATGAGCTCACACAAGCTGAGACAACTGCTAACTAAATGCAGATTGAATTCATTACAATTTAAAGTGATCCAGGGACATTATATGGGTCAACATGGTACAGGCAGACACTGCCCAGCAAGATACTTTAAGATGAAAGACATGGTACATATTCTAAAAGAATGCTCTCTGTTTATAGATTTGAGGGATCAATATCTTAAACCCTTAACAACTAGGATCAAGAACAATTCCCTTTTGTGTATAGTTTTATTTCTGTTGCGTAGCTGGCACAGAGTACTATAATTCAGTAAATCTGTTCAGGATATTGAGAGATGAAAAAGGACCACTTAGTTTAGAACAGACGCCTTGTAGACCAGAATGTGCTGATAGCCATTATCCTCTCCTGTCCAAGAAAGCAGGAAATAACCTCATACAGAAAAGGAAGTAAGCCTGTGATTACCAGTCTGCATACAGATCTAGAAAATGTAAGGGAGAAAAGCACTCAAGAAACCTATCTACACAGTGTCACCCACCGCAACGGGTGCAGCTCACTTGCTATATTAATTCATGCTCTGGTTCAACAGCCCTACGGTCTTAAGGATTCAGATATTTATTATGGTACAATGCCTTGTTGACTAGAACCTGTTTCATTAGGTGCATGATGCAAGTGAACACTAGACCATGAAACTTTGTACCGTATGACTTTTTGTTAGTTTTACTGTAACAGACTAACAAAGACAGCATGTGATTCTTGGAATTGTAGTCCAAAAACAGTATGTGTCCAAACTTCTGGACTACCCACCTGGAAAATCCTGTATTTTTCTAATGATGCTGTCAATTAATCATTAAATGCTATCACAATTTTAATTTGAGGGGGACTGATTCAACTAATTCACACTTCAACAGGCAAAAACATCCAGCTGGTGTCCATTCTGGGTTAAGCTAAAAAGTTTAAAATGATCAGGAACTGCTTGCAGCAGGTGTCAGGGATGCAGTCCACTATCCTCTCACACTTTCCCCCCTTCCATTGAACAAGATGCTGCAGAAAACGTAGCAGCTGCTATTAAACCATACTGAACTCTTCCAAGCACAACATTTCAAACAAAAACACTTTTTTTGGCATTTCCACATGTTTCTAAATGAAAATGAAAGGTTGGCCAAAAATCACTCAAGACCATATGTAAACCACATTTACTGCACTTGGATCACAAAAAAAACTAGATCTGAAGCAGTTGTGAAGAGGGGATGTGTGTAGACAGGGTGGAGAACTCTCATATTCCTTGACAAATAAAGGATTTTATTACCAAATGGGAAGGAACTTTAGCACAGGCCTTATATCTAGCTAGCCACGTATCCATCTAGAGATGGCAAAAGTTACGTTCTTGTACCACAGCTCCCAGACTGCTCATTCAGCTAGTGTGGGCTGTAGCCATGCTGGATGGGATATTCTGTAGTCCAAAATAGGCAACATTTCCCCATCACTCCCGTGCTCATGGGCAGCAGGTCTCTGAGGTTTCAGTTCTACACTGGATATCTCAGAGAATGAATGGATGGGAAACATGTGATTTACCCTTGACCTTCTTCTCATCTCCATATAGGAAAGTGTCCATCCGTAAATCTTAGTCCAACTTTGAGTCCATAAATAAATAAATAAATAAATAAATAAATACATACATACATACATACATACATACATACATACAAAAGTGTCCATCCGTAAATCTTAGTCCAACTTTGAGTCCATAAATAAATAAATAAATAAATAAATAAATAAATAAACAAACAAACAAACAAACAAACAAACAAACAAACAAACAAACAAACAAACAAACAAACTCATCAGTGGCTGTTATATTCCACCTGTCTTCTAATGACCTCAGAACAGAATACTTGTCTGCCTCCTCCTTACTTAATCTTCATGATAACCCTGTGAGGTAAGTCAGGTCAAGAAAGCATCACAAGGGGGGCAGGGAGCAACTTGATCTCCCCAGTCCTAATCCACTATACTAAGTTACCTGCTTCACTCTCACTACTACATGACACAGAGTCTGTGGATTATCAATGTTTCTAACAGTTATGAGGAAATCACTGGTCTGACCTTCCTTTCTTTGGAAGAGACTCAAAACAGATCTGTTAGTTAGTTAGGCATCCTTCAATCTCGAAAGACTATGGTAACATGCTCTGTATGGAGGACTTGGAACAGCGTCTAGTGTGGCTGAGAAGGCCAATTCAAGAGTGACAATCCCTTCCACACTGAAGACAAATCCAATCTGTCCCCTGTCCAGCTCCCTGGTTTTGCTGCTTTCATGACTGCCTCTTTGCCTCGACCTGCTGGACAAGGGTCTCTTCGAATTGGGAGAGGCCATGATGCACCACCTGCCTCCAGGCTGAATGCTCAGATGTCAGGGTTTCCCGTCTGTTGAGGTCCATTCCTAAGGCCTTCAGATGCCGCTTGCAGATATCCTTGTATCACAGTTGTGGTCTCCCTCTGGGGCGATTTCCCTGCACTAATTTTCCATACAGGAGATCTTTTAGAATCTGACCATCAGCCATTCTCACAACATGCCCAAGCCAACATAGACGTCACTGTTTCAGTAATGTATACATGCTAACAATTTCAGCTCATTCTAGGATTACTCTATTTGGAACATTCAAAACAAAATAGATCTGTGTATAAGCATAATTCACTTCTGTGCCTCAGTTCCTCCTCAATGATTTGTCAATAGAAGAATTACTAACAGGAAGTGCTTTAATAAGGATTCCTCTGAATGGACACCTTCGGAGAGCAATGTGCTTCATCCCAACCTTTGGGGATCTCTCTCCTTCAAACTGTGCTATATTCAATACGCTCCTCTGTCTTGCTGAAGTGGTAGGGTGATGGGCATAATGCCATAGGATCCATTTCTACTAGTCCATTTGTATGCAGATACAAGTAGACGAGTAGAAAGTACTGAAGCATCCTGTCTGGACACCGAAATATACAATAATCTGAAACAGTGTGGCTGAATTCCCTGTTTTAGTCACACACACATATTCCTTGTTTGCTTACTTGTAATCTGAGAGGTGTCTGATTGCAGCTGGTAAAACTATTAGCATTTTAGAAGAGTGGATTCATTTTTAAATTTACAAATGTACCTCTTAGAGCATTTTTGCTGTCACATCACATTTTAGAATCCATGCAACCAGAAAGGCTAAGGGCCAACTCACACTTTCTATTTCATTTCAATCCAGCCTATTCTCCAAGAATGTGTTCAGGTATGAAGTGGTGGATCAAAGATCTGTCAGCAAGAAGGTCTGTGATAGTCAGAGTTGGAAAAACAGCCACCCTGTTCAGGGCAAATGCAGCTGACTAAATTTGTCACTAGCGAATTCGTACATTTCTTCATACACCTGAGAGATTAAACCACTGTACTACATGAACCAACCAGTGCTAGCACCATCATGAGGGAATTCATGCAGATAGCAGATTCTAGAGCACACACCCTAGTTCCTCAATCAGAATCCATGTAACTAATTCCACACGTTGAATGAGAAAGGCATGGATTGTTCTTCCGGAACAACATCCCCTCATGCCTCATGGCAGATTGCTTTTGAAGCTGAGGAAGCAAAGCACTTTCTCATGTAACATGGGTCTGTCAGCTGGAGATGGAGGTTAAAATAAAAATCCACATGATAAACAAGTCCCCCTAGCCCTTGCTTTTGTGGAAGATGCCATTTAAATTTGGTTGCTTCCAGTGTCTAGGATTTGTACTGGAATTAGTTCTGACATTGTTTTGCTAGTGTAGCGTAGTATAGTGGATGGGGTGATGGACAAGGACTCAGGAGACCTAACTTCAAATCACCACTTGGCCATGAACTGGGAACTGGTAATGGTAACATGATTACTAAAATTTGTCGCATGCCTTCAAAATTTTGCTAGGCTAGCCAGAAGCCATATGAAACTCAGCAGTACATAACATATTTTGCCTGCCTCAGCCATCTTGGTGCAATTGTCCAGTGTCTTCTTTTAGAAACTTTTGACAGTCTGATTTTCAGCTGGAATAGATGTGATTTTCTGAAATCTTTGTTCAATTGATAAACTTTATTAAATTGAATGTATAACCTAAAGACAAAGGTTATAGAAATAAAAGGTTGGCTGTCGTGTGATCAGGCCTCAGACTGTTTGTATCTGGAGCTCCATTTCCAGCACAGACAGAGAAAGAAAGACTGCGAAGTTGGTTTGTCTGTTCTTTTGTTTAAAATATTAGATTATATTAACATGGCTTTCTCATTACAGTATAATAAGCAATTATTTGACCACAAAATTTGAGATTTGGTGATGGTACTGCTGCTCATCCAATGACATACTATGAAAACACTACTGAGGGATTCAACCTAAGGCCAAAACAAAAACAACCTAATGTTGCACAGAAAATTACTGTATTCCAAAATGAAAGATTTCTGAGAAATTTTTCCACAAGACCAAAACTAAACAAAAGTGGGGAAAACCACACTGCCACCAGCCTAATATTGGCCATATATATATATTAAACTGTCAAAATTATCTCTATATGTTGAAGAACAGTCACAAAAACACCTCAGAGTGATTTACCACAAATTCACCTCTGAGTTTGATTTATTTACCACATGTCAAAATCTTTGGCTTGAACCTAAGATTTGAAAGGCAATATGAAGCTTTCGGGGATAAGTTGTGCTTCAGTCTGGGTTCACAAAAGTACATTGTTCTCTCCTAGTTTGCATTTTATGGGGCTTGCACAGAAGTAGCCAATGTTCTGGTGGGGTTTAGTGGCACATACCTTTGAACTGCACTTGTACAATGGGTGGCTGATGGAATCAACATAGTGATGCCTCATGCAGCGGCCTGGGTCCGACTCCATCATGAAGGTACTGTCCGTTTTACTGTCAGTGTCTCCCATTATCGCCAAAAGGGACAGCACAGAAATCGAAGCGGCAAGTACATGATTTCCCATCATTGGAGAACTTCTTAGGAATAACAGTAGAGGGAGGTAGAGTATCAAAAGCACTCTAAAGACTGAGGCCTGGTCCCTTCTGAGGAAAATGAAGGATCTGTTTTAAGTTTCTGAGTTGTCATTGCTGATCTTGAGTCCTGCATTTGTCAAGGTTATGCTCCATCAAAACATCCCCTTCATGGCTGGAATAAAAATAAATACCAATAAAAATACATTACAATCCTCAATGATAATAATAAAGTTGCCTCTAGAGGAAAATAGATGCAAAATACAAGAACGCTGAAAAGGGTGCTGTTAGCCAAGAAACACTTACTGAGTAAGCACAGTCCTGCAATAGGTGCAGTGAAAGAAGAGGCTATAGCCTTGCAGAGTTTAAAGCCTCTTCTGTCAACATTTTAATAATAAGAATGTTAGCTTTTAAGGTTGGGAAGATTTTTTCTGTGTAATGAATGTTTCCCAAGGGCTCAATTCAGTGTGGATTATTGAGTAAAGATGTGCATTTGTATTCAGAAATATTAGGAATTCACTGAATTATGCCATATTCAGAATGTTCTGAATATATCCAAATACGAATCTGATAATTCCAAATATATGTAATAATATTTCCTAATATTTGGAGTCCCATTTTCTCCTATAGGTTGGAAAGCAAAAGGTTAGGTTTATGCTTGCTAGGGAAAGAAGTGAAAGTGAACCCTATTCCTCAGGCATCCTGGAGTGATTTCTTGAGAAATGAAATTGAAAGACACTCTGGCGCCAAGGGTAGTGGAGGCAGAGAACTCGGTGTTTCCTAATTGGGGTTGCCATGGATTTTGCTGGGATGAGAGCAAACTCTCTAAATGATGTCTGTCTACACCACCGAAAACTAGACACTAGAAGGTATTTCTTCACACTGATTCTTTTCAATTGAAAGGTGGGCTTAGCTGCTTATAAATCCCCTGTCCATTTGCTGTTAGGATATGCTCTACTGCAAGCCTGCACTGCAGCAGTTTTCTCTGTGCCCTTTTCTGAACCCTCAACCTATATATATTGTCTACATCTCATTGTATATTAATACTTAATATAGTTAGGAATAAGATTTAGGATTTGTATTGTATAAATCGACATGTAAATATTAGATTAGGTTTAGGCCCCTTGGGGAAATATCAGGTGGTGAAAAGGATTTTGTTATATATAGAAAGATGTATTAAGGGAATAGATTTTGTGTCTGTGTATATTGTGCATGTGATTTTCGTTGGAAGAGTTTGTGTGCTGCTGTAGCAGAATCAGGTACTGTTCATCTTTGGGTAGAGTCTGCAGGCAGTATGAAATGTGGGTGTGTTAGAAGTAGGAACTTGTAGAAGGCTGAAGGAATGCTACCTGCACCTACTGCAGCAGCTTCTACTGAGAGGAGTGGGAGAAGAAGAGGAAAAAACAACCTATCACTGCTATTATGATCCCCAAAACAAAATATGTCAGCCAACTGCCTTGTTCAGTACTGACACTATGAAGCAGCAGCAGGCAGCAGTGCAGAGAGAGAGAGAGAGAGAGAGAGAGAGAGAGAGAGTAATGCCAAGTAAATGGCAGAGAAACCTGTGGCTCAAAATGGGAAAGATAAGATTGAGCCTCAAACATGTTCCAGGAATGTCTTTGTACAATCTATTCAGGACAGCTAAGACTGTCTTCTCTGCAAAGCAGTGTTATAGTTGATGGGAATTCCCCTTGAAGTATATACACATCTGACATGGTGGAGGAAGAGACTGAGGGGACTCGGGTGGATACAGTACTGTTTGAGAAGCATGTGACACTAAAATCACCCCTGTCCCTCTTGCTGCATTTGCCCCACCAGCTGTCAGGACTACTAGTGATGACTAGTCAAAACCTGAAGTTCCCAAGAAGTCAATAGCTTGGAAGCAAAAGATGCTCACATGGCTGTGTGCATGCACTGCGAGAAGGACCTCAAACATGGGTAGGACTTGAGCTTTTCTCTGTGGTGGAGAACACTAATTTCCCTATGTTTGTGGCAGAATTGGCACCCTGTTACCAATTGCCATCCTGAACAACCCTTAGCCACAGGGTGGAACCAGATTTATAGTATTGCTGCTTGTAAAAATGTAAAAGGAAGTGAATTTTTAGATACGCACACACACACACACACACACACACACACACACACACACACAAATGTGAGATAATTACTGACAAAGACAGAAGTATGCACAAGGTAAAATCCTGCATTCATTTTTGTTGGCATCAGCATAAAGAAAGACCCTCATTTAAAATGAAATCTGAAGGGGACTTCACTATTAAAAGAGTCTGTAATTCTGGCACATTCACATGGTAAGCTTATTTTTCTCTTTCAGAGAAGTGATAGCCACTGCACAATTGATAATGTTCCTTTTTCCCCCAGATACCAGCAAAATTTCAATTACCTGGGTAATGAGGCTTCATCAAGCCACAGAGAGAGTCCACATACTAAATAAACCTGACAGTGCAAATCCATTGTACATCTACTCAGAAGTGAGGGTGGCTCATGAGTGGGGGAGAACCTCCTCCTGAAATTTGGGGTGAAGTGACCCCCCCCATCCTAGTCCATAAACCACCCCTCCTCAAAAGTAAGCCTCACTGAGTTCAACTGCCTTACTCCCTGGTTCCTGTGTGTAACAGGTGAGGTCAGGAGTCTGTAGTCCTCTAAACAGCCTTGGATTCATACTCCCATCGGCCCCAGCCGACACAGCATCGTCTTGAGATTCCTCACCCTGATGTGTAGGATTAAAAAGTGCAAGCCCCATTGGATTGCTTTAAGTCACCCTAGGATACAACCAGATAAAATATAAACATTGACATCACATTGAATGAGGAACACTAGAGATGTATTTTTCAAATACCCAGTACTCCTGGTCATGACAACCGGTCCCCAAAAATATGGATTTCTTAAAGGTTAATTCAATTCAATTCAATTCAGTAACCTTTATTGGCATAGGAAAATTAAAAACATACACTTGGGGAATTAATAGTAAATAGAGATACACATAATAGTTACACCCCTAAAAAATACAGCAAGAAACACAATAGGGGATACTTTGGGGTAGTCTGGTTAATTTTTAGAGACCTGGGAGGAGAGAACCTTTGCAAGAAACTCGGCTACTAAGGGTGTTATTTTTTGTGAATAGTCATAAAAGAGGAAACCTGTGAGAAACTGGGGAGGGCCAGAAAAATTTGAAATAATTGAACCTAAGAGACAAGCACGCATATCTTTAAACTCAGGGCAGTAACAGAGAATGTGTGT